AATGGACCAATATGACATAAAACATCATAAAACCAAAAAATGTGAATATGAATGAATGAATGAATGTGTGTGTGTGTGTCAAAAACATAGATATAATGAACTGTCCCTGCAATTTGTCAGTACGTACTTGTGCCTTCTGAATGCAAACAGTTGGAAGCGGCCTTTTGTTGCACTGCTCGCCCGACCAGCCTGCCCTGTGCACTACCGCTAATTGAACCGGCCTGTGGTCCGACAGCCAGTGACTTCAGTCCGGCAGGTCCAACAGGTCCGGCTCACTGAACAGAATTAAAAGCTCTGCTAAAAAACCTATCTTGTAGGACGTGAAGTTCGACCGGCTCAAGTCGAAGGCCATAAGCATTGAATTTGACGTTATCTCCTTGGTTGGTCTACAATCAAACCGTAAGCAAGGCCAAGGCCCGGCATCTTTGCATACCCCAAGAAATAGAAACACCTTCAGAAAAATTAACACTGACATGATCTGAACCACCAAAAACCAATTGAACCCAAAGCACTGCAGTCCAAAGCAAATCCTGAATTTATAGTGAAGCACGCCCTGTAGAGTCCACCCTTGTAGAAACACCCAAGTGTAATGACCGGCTCTTGAGCATAGGCGGCCTCAATGTACTCCAGCATGAGTTGACCAGGCATAGTAAAGCCCATCTCCACCGCCCCGCAAGTGCATCCAGACCGGCCAACGATACCCTGCTCCAAGTCCACCTGCCAACGCATCATGTTCACTTCCAGCTCGGCCATTAAAAAATCCCACGTGGTCCTGGGCACCAAGCATGGCAGTGCGCAAACAACAAGCAATAGTGAACACTGGAAACCTGAACGGCTGAACAGCTGACAGAAAACATAATAATGATGTGCTTTCAAGTTGATCAAACAAACAAAGTGACCTCGAGGGCGTTTCACATGTGCAACCAAAGGTTCTTGAGAAAAGGGTGTTCCTGGCAATGTTCGTTCTCAACAACAAAGCAGCCTCTCCCAAAGTACCTGAAATTGCTTCGATTGCTCAGAGCAGCTTGCAACTCACTAAAGCAAAATAAAAACATTGAACAATGCTAAGAGAATTGGGTAAGACGAGCTGCGGCCTGTAGATCTCAGGCACGGCATCATGAGTCTCCGACAATGTTGTAAGGAAAGTCAAACACCTGGACGAAAAAGGACTCAGCTGAAGAGAAGTAATACAGCAGTAACACTGTGGCGTTGACAAACCAAAAATAGATAATATTAATCTATGACTACTGTCATATTAATCTATGGCAGTGTCAGACTGTCAGCGCCAATGCAGTCGAACTACAGTGTCTCATCCGACATGAGTTTTGTCACATCTTCAAGGGAGTAGTTGCCCAGGCCAGCTTCATAGAAGTAAGCGTGAATCAGGTCCGCCGTAAACACAAGTGTCGCCATGACGTAGGTGGTAGCACCGGACTATGACTCAATGACCGACCTACTAGACGGTACTACGACCGACCAGAAAATATGAAACGCTGGGCAGCAGAAATCTGAACTCAATCCCTGGTGTTCAATGAGCAACTGGGCAAAATCACATGTCAATGTTTGCAGGGCTAGGTTGACTTGATTGATTGATTGACTGATTGCTTGCTAGCTTTGCTTGCTTGCTTGCTTGCTTGCTTAGCTTGCTTGCTTGCTTTATTGATTGATTCATTGATTGATTGATGGAATCGGAATGTCTGACTTACTAACTCACAGAATTCAGAATTATTAAAATATGGCGACAGGTCAATGAATCAAGAAGTCAAACGTGCTTCATATTTCAAGCCGAGAAAAAACAAATAAACACATGCCTGCAAGGCCAGGCATTAGATTGGCATCATACACTTCATTGATTGAGTGTCAGAGGTTTCCATCATCTAGATTACAATGGACGTCTTTGCAGACTCAAAACATCAAACAACTGACTGTAGCTAACTGTGAAGTCTCTGCAGGCAAGACAGGCTCGGAATGCATGATTCATTGTTTTTGCGCACGGCCTGACCGACGGAAATTGAAATGCCCAATCTACAAACAAGTGAAGTCCTAAAATGAATTCAGCCTGGCCATCAGATCATTGATCAGTGACGCTGAGAGCACTTTGCAAATTTGACCAGGATTGGTAATTCACTACTTCATTTGACTTGACCGAAAGGGCAGCCCATGATCTGATGGTAACCCTGGCCCAGGGAACCGTCCAGCCAACATCACAAAAGGACCGGCCTTTAAAATGATTGAACTACAGTAATCATGAAGCAACTCCTGCCCAATTCACTATTAATGCTGCCCACCTGGCCATTGTCATAAATTAGGCGCGACATTGGTCCGTCATTTCCGACCGGCCAAGTCCGTCCGTCAGTCTGTGAATTGACCTACGATTGAGGTGACGCTGTCGATGGTGAACCCTTCAATGCTCCCGCCGGCTTTACCGGAGTCTGAACGACCGTTGGTGCGCCGCCAGTCTCTGTGAGAGCTGACGTCGACAAAATATCTTCTGCTGCTTCATTGTCCGGCTCATCCCAGGTAGATTCATAGTCCGGCAGCTCACGTGATGACTCATCAGAAAAGAAGTCCCAGCACAAGAAGTCATACAAATTTGGTTTCAATTCACTCCTGACCCGGCAACTTGGGGAGGCGCGGTCCGACAAGATCCACCGGTCGCCCTTGGCCAATGGTAGGAGCTCATACTCCAACCCATCCTCCTCCGTCTTGGCCAGGGCACAGCAGCACAGAGTATTCCCAGTGACCGACCAAATGTGCAAGTCCATGTTTGCTTTCAGAGGCTCCTTGCTGTTGAGCAAATTCAAGTAGTTGACACCAAGGGATTCAACCCGAAGTTTTGCAAACCTCTCTAATGTGGAGACCTGCCGAATATCAGTCCTTTTTAAAGGGATCTTTGGCCCTGCTCCGACCCAGAACTGCAATTGGAACGCCCTCTTGACAAAGTCATCGGTGCGGAGGTCCGGCTGGAGACTGAGTCCGGTGGCCTCAATCATGGCCACCTTCATCTCCAATGGCAGCTGCAGCCATGTCTTTGCCCGACCTTTCCACTTTGGTCCGACTGATGATGCGTTTTCCTCATCAAAGTTGTCCTTCAAAATGCCGTTCAATGCGCCCGACCTAATAAGCCCGGCCAATGGCTGAATCCAGCGAGGATTGTCCTGCAACGTGTCCGTCACAAATTGAAAGTCCTGCTCCAAAAGGCTGGCCTGTGAACCCCGCACGGCCGAGGCAAACCGCGCCTCATTCTTCTGCCTCGCTTTCTGCTCCTTCACTGTCCTGCGCTCCTTTTGCCTCTTTGTCGGACCACGTGGAGCATTGGACTTCCGGACCATTGCGCACGACCAAAAAAGTCCGACGGCTGTGAGTGAAGGCAAGGTGCTTAAGAGGTCACTGCACTTCAAGCAAAAATGATAGAATTCAATTTTGTAACATGCAATCCTTCCCTGTGTCAAGCAACTTGCAAGTCAACAAATGCCAGTAGGCGATGCAACAAATCCAAATGAACATGTGCCCAAACAAACCAGCTTTGTGAGGTTGGACCAAGGGCCACACTTTGTCCGACCAAAAGCCGCTGCCATGTCCTCCAGCAAGTCAATATATTTATGGATCAGACCCATTCATTTGCTAGTGCAGTGCATATATGATATGACATCTATGTGTTATCAGCAGCGATGATCAGTGACAATCAGAGAGTGCATTGTGGAGTGGCGGTGTTGATGACAAGTCGATTTGGTGCCACAAATTGCCAATAGGAGTGGTATGTAAGCACAGGAAAAAGTCCAACAGGTCTGCCACTTGCCTCCGCCGTGAAGAAATGCATCGTCCGGCCAGGTCAGTCCTGAAGTCAGATGTTGTTCCATTCCAATTGACTTTGGAAATGCCATGTGAATCTTCAAGCCATAAACCAGCTGAATGTGTTTGGAAAAGAACTTTGTATATAGGGCACTGTCTGAAATGAAATTAGAACACAGTTCAATACTCTAAGGTCGCTGAACAAGATTGATTTAAACAAGTGTGGTTGCACCGACCCTGTCACAGTCACACGGTCATGACTTCTGATTCTCTGCGTTGTATCACTTGATGGTTGAGAACGCAGCTCAAGAAAAAAGAGCTAAAGCTTTAATACCAACAAAACAAAAGACTTCAACCAAACTGACCTCAAGCAGCCATGTCACATTTCTGTCATAAAAAACCTGACCGCAAACTGTGCAGCTGACTAATAGCTAACGCTACATTGACACAATGAGCCCAAACATGTGTGTGTGTCACTTGACTTGTCTAATCCTTGAAGTCAGTTCTTGATGTTACAGATCTCAATCCATTGATTTGTTACTTGCTGGAGGTGAGCGCCAATTTTTTGAGATGCCATGAATGTCAGTGCCCCAAACAGCCGAGGCACATTAAGAGAAGAAACACTTGGACAGTTTACCGATGAATAGTTGACATGAACAAATGCAACCATTATGAAGCTCGCTTCACCTTTCTTTTGGAATAGCCATGGCATTTGGAAATGCAAATACAACTGTGACAAAAACCTGAGACTCGAGTCACACCTTAGACGCCTGACACGTTAAAGGTGCCCACCCGCCGCAGAGCTGTGCCTCAAGCTACCACTGGCCCAGCGCACCTGGCATTTGTGAAGGACTGCCATGAATTGGATTGAACATGATGACCACCAACACCCAAAATAACAGGCTGAGAGAGCTGTTCAATGAGCTGATCCTATCATCACGAAACTGAAAGTGCACTGAATACTACTGAGAAAGTACATGCACCAGACTCCGTCCGACTTTGAGATTTCAAGACCTGATTGTGCACTCTGCCCTCCACGGTTGTCATGCACTGTTTTTTTAAATTCATCTGACATGCAATGTGCTTTGGTCGGACAGCGCCCTTTTGGACAAAGTACGTCCTTAAATTGTGCGCTTGCAGTCCGACCAAATTCAATCAGTCCAACCAAATTCAATTATAAAATGTCCGACAAAATGAATCGGACAGACCTACGACGGCGCGCCCTTATTCTGGTACGGCCACGGGTACACCGCTGGCTGCGAGGGCGCGCCCCTGAACGACTTGCCTTGCACAGGGCCGCCCTGGCCCTTGCCCGGCTTCCCGCCGCTGGCGTCCGACTGGTGAGGAAGGTCCTGCCAAGAGTTCTGACCCGCCGACCACTCTGAAGCGGCAGAGTCATAGCCCGCCGGCCCCCATTGGAATCCACCAGCGCTGCTGGATGCGCCCGACGATGCAAGTTGGCCGGCATTGTAACGTGCCTGACACAATCCAGGAAGTGCTACTCACTCCGATCATGTTAAAATAACGACTAAACTAAAAAGTCTGTCTGTGCAACTAGAAGGAACAACGTAAGAAAATTACTAACCCATCAGTCCAAATTGCCCAGGCAGGATCAACAGCACCCTTGCCGGACGTGTGCCAGGGTGCTGGAGGATGATCAGGACGACCTGCAACTCAAATTCTATTAAAACTTGTCAAATTACACTGACTGATATATGATTGCCTCATTAAAAAAACACAATTCAATAGTTGGAACATCTGACCACTGACATGATTTGAACTTGACTTTGACCCAGTCCCAGCCTGGCTCCGACCAATAGTAGTCCAACCCTTGGGCGGACTGAGCGGCCTGGGCCGTGGCCTTGGCAGCGGCAGTGGCATTGGCCAACTCAAGCTCCTTCAGTTTGACCTGAAGCTCGAGCTTGCGGATCTCCTTGTCCTTGTCCTGCTCAGCTGCAGCAGAGTCCGTCCCAGCACGATGCACGGCCAAACTTTCCACCGGCCGCGCAGTCGGCCCCGGCGGCACAGGCGCATCCTCCGCCTTCAGTGAGCCCCGTCCACGGACTGTCCGACCAGCAGAGTCCCTGCGCGCGGCCTTCATTGATGGCCCTGGCATTTTGTTGCCGCCAATCCCCTTGCCGCAGCCGCCCGACGACGTGTCCGACAAGGCCAAGGTCTGAGGCGCTGCAGTAGGCTGGACCGGCATGGCCTTGGGCAGCACGACCTTCTGACGAGGGTGAACTCCCAAGTGCGGCGGAGCCTCTTGCTCCTCCTCCTCCTGATGAGGTTGGTCCGTCCCGAGCTCCGGCACTTCCAGTGGGAGGTCTGCGGCGTCATGTCCGGCCAACTCAACATCCTGCTCAACCTCTCCTTCTCCAAGTCCGACCTCTGCCAAGGCTTCGCCGGCGGACTGCTCGACCTCCTTCTTGACCGCCTTCCTGCCATCCTCCCTGACTTCAGCCTCCGGCCTTGGTGCTTCCTCCTGCCGACGTTCCTCCTCCTCCTCCTCTTGGGCATCCGCCCAGCCACGACCTTGCAGCCTCAGGTTGATCGGCTTGGGCACGGCTGCCGGATCGGCTGCGGAGTCCGGCCTCAGCTGCTTGGCAGAAGCAGCAAGTCCTTCCTCGCCCGGCCTCTTCCTCCCACTGGAGTGAATCCTCGTGGCCGACCCGCTGCCCGACGATGGCTGCTCCAACTCGAAGACCTCCTCCGACACCTCCGACCCCGAGGATTTGTCAGCCTTGGGAGCAAAAGGATCCCGCTTGCTACCCTTGACAATGTCCTTGCCACGGCCCTTGCCCTTGTCCTTGCTGCCCTTCCCCTTCAGCCTGCCCTTCCACTCCCCGTAATTGTTGAGCTCCCCCTGCTCCGAATCCTGCTCGGCCTGCAGCCGCATCTCCTCCCAGCACTGCCGTTCATGCTCTGTGAATTCGAGCTTGATCTGCTTGCCAAAGTCTCGTCCGGCCAGTATGTCCTTGAGCTTGATTCGGTACTTCCTGTCCTGAAAGGTCTGCGCGTCCTCTGGAATGTCCAATTTGTCCAGCCTCATGTGCGTTGCCAACTTGTAGGCCATGAATTCCTCGTCGTCGCCTCAGTTTGTCAAAGCATCCAATGTGCATGAAACAATCAACTAACTACTGAATGCAATTAAAACAAAATAAAAATAACAAAACTTAACGGTTAAATCAGGTCGAGTTGCTTCTTGGGTGCATTGCACGCATTGCTTTCATCCGCAATGCTTTCCCAAAGCCCGACCTAAAGTCCCTCCAACTTGGATTTGGTCCGGCCTCACCTTAGCTTCAGTCAATCAAAGACTCTCTTTGCGACAGCGTTTGTAATAAAATAGAAATCAAAATCAATTTCATCTGTGAAAACACAGGCTAACAATTACAAATAAGTTATGTATATGTGTTAGAATCTTGATGTATCAGCCATCAAAACTATACAATTTAGTTTGGCGGTTTGGCGTTTCAATGTCAAAAGTACTCAAATACTTACATCAAACAAACCAGTTGAAATTATTCAAGCCACGGACAACCGTTGTAGTAAGGTCCGCCGCAATATGTCGACCATAAGGGCTTGCCCCGGCAATGTTGGCCATTGCCTTACTGATCAAAACTGGACCTGCAACAGGCCGCCTGTTGACCAAAAAAACGTTGATATGATGATGAATCTACAGGCTGGGGCTGGTCGAGGAAAAAAATCATAGAAACATAATTGCAATGCAGGAAAGATGCAATCCAATGGTAGTCGTCCGTCGGCAACTTCTCGTCCGACAATGCTGCTGCAGCTGCTGGATGCTGGTCTTGAAGGTATGCGCGTGCCTGAGAGAAGCAAAGATTATGGAATACAGAAGCAAAGATTATAGAACAATTGCGAGAACCATAGAAAAGCACAAAGACACAAGTTAGTAAAAAACAAAAAAATAAAGATCAATCTATATCAAATCGAGGGGCCCGAGCGAGAGATTGTCGCCGAAACTCTGCCTTCTGCAGGTTTGGCGGTCCGACCTTTCTTTGTGGCATCTCCGGCTGCTGCTGGGCACGACGGACAGGAATGTTCCGATTGACCAAAGGTCCGGCCATTCCAAAATTGGCCAGCTCAATCAAAGGGTTGAGCTTTTGAGTGACTATCTCCACTGGCAACTGGACCGACCACCATTCCAGCTCAGGGCCTAAGCCACTGTACGTCAGGAATGCCACAGGCACCTTCAGGACCGCCGCAAGAGTCGTCCCCAAAATGGCCGACCTGTGCTTGCCCTGCGTGCCTCAGTCACAGGTTTTGAAGTGTGACCAACTGTAATCTATCAATTCAGGTATTTGTTTGTCTCAACTACCTTAGGATTACTAACTAAGCACATCAGAACACACAAAAACCACATCAGCCAATACAAGAACTCAACATTCCAATTCCTCACAATGACGCTATTGTACCAGGCTGCAATAAAGTCCGACGTAAATCGAGTGGTCCGGCATTTCCCTTGGACCGACCCGCTGGTAGCCCATCAACATAGCGTAGAGGGTTTTGAATCCACGACCAAAGTGCTCCTCCTCCATCAAGGAGTTGAGCAATTCCAAGTTATGGCTGGGACAGCCTGACTGCTCTGAACAGTTCAAATGTTGCCTGACACAAATTCAAATAACATTTACATTCCCTGTTGCTACTTTGTAAAACAAAGCTCAAAGTAAAACAATCCTGTTCCTCTTCCAAGCCGCCGTCCGTCCGATGGTGGGCATTGGGGTCCCTGGGCATCAGCCCGCGCACGTCCAGATGCACATGAGTGCCAGCTTCCTTGTCCGTCACCTTAAAATACTTTTGCACGATGTCGCAGCCCCTCACGAATTCTTAGTTGCGCGCACAGTGAGCCAATGCAAGTGTATTTTGATGACACAGTTTCTGACCCTTCATTCATAATGCGACCCAAAAAATAAATGGTGCTTGAACACCATGAATGAGCCCCAAGACACAGCAACAATTGAAATTGGCAATGCTATTACATCAATTGTCTGAAGTCACACATGAATAAACAAATAACAAACCATTATTGGAGTTTGCAAACCACTGGCTTTGCCAATTCATGATTGCCATGCAATACTTGCAAAACCACAAATATAAAACTTCCAATGTCATCAAAGTTTCGATTCGGTGAGGGGTGCAGGCACTTCCTGTACTCGTGGTCCGCCCCGTAAACGATGATCCGCATGCCCGGCGTCGCAAGGTCTTCGCCCGGCTGATTGAGCAGCTCGGGCATCAGTCCGTCCTGATTGTAGTCCAGCCTCCCTTGCTGCCGCTTGCCCTGCCCCTTGCCCAACCGAGGAGTTCCAGCAGGAGACGCCATGATTTGTCCGACGAAGTGAGACTCAGACTCACGCGAGGTTGTGTCCGACCAGAAATTGAAATCTGTGAAAGATCAAGCTCAGTCAGTCAGTGATTGTGGGTATGCTGTATTGATCTGTGGTAAGTCTCAGTGGTGATGAAGATTAGCAGGTTGTGATGCATCCAGCCAATCAGTGAATTGCTTGTGCTTTAAACAGCAGCAAAGGAATATCTAAGTGGTGCAGAATTGCAAAAACCCCAGACCAGCACAATCAATCATGTCATGAGGCAATGTGCAAGACTCACTCACAGGATTTGACCCAGTTGAAGGTATTTATAAACATGCAAGGCTTGCCTCAGCAATGTCCTCCTGCCCATGTGCCCAGCCAAAGTCCGGCCTAGGATAGATTCAAAAAGTGAAAAACACCTACTCCGCAAAATGCCATTAATATGTGCAATGATGAATTCTGAAATCATTTAAGACATGCGCCCAGGACATGACACTGCACAATGCAAGCAGCATTTGGTGAACTGACATGTACTCTAATGGCGTGATGATTGAGATGTCCAGAGATTGCTCTGAGATTGCAACAGTCAAAGCAAAACCAGTCAAGGTGTGAGCCTCAGGAAGCGAGCATGGGATCAAAGGGCAAGGGGCAGGCTCACTGATTGGTGTTCCTGGAAAACGAACACATGACATTTTATGCAAACCACCTAAGAACTACTAATTAATGGGAAAAGCAGCAGTCTGCCTGGAATCAATGTGGCTATTGAGAAACAGGATCCGATTCAATTGCTTTTTATAATTCACTGGTCGAGTTGTGCCTATTTGAGGCGGTCAAACGTCTATAATGATGTCTGTCCGGCCCAAACAATTGAACAACTTGGCACTGCCCTGAGCACATTCAAACTTAAAAGTTGGTCCGACATGATCATGCATTGCTGCCCGCCCAAAGCCCTACCTACCAAAGTGAACGCCCTCAGTTGGTCTCGTCATGAGCTCCGCCCCGATTCCACCTGTTGAACAAGAAAGCCCTGCCGCTCATAACCTTCAATCGCTTGGAGATGAAGTCCGGCATAAGTGAAAATGACGTGCTCACCTTGGTCGCAGAACTAAAACAGTCGACAGGGTCATCATCGAAATCTTTTTAGTAACTAATTTAATTGACTGACTAGTTACATTTTATGGGGACCAAACTCAACTCATCATGAACTGAACACAATAAGATTTAATAATAGGTCATCATTTAGTTTTGAATGGATGGAGCAATGAATAATAGATAGGTTTTCAAGTTCTGACTGACTAACGTGACTAGATGAGATCCAAAGAAAACTGTGCTAATTGATATTAACCAAAGAAACCACCGCCGAACGGGTTGGGCGCAGTCCGAAAAATCTCATTGGTTTGCCCGGCCCCTGTAAACATGTGCATGGCACCAAACACCCGACCACGGTACGGCACGATGACCATCTGATGTGGGGCCGACAAATAGGCACGCTGACAATAAGCAGCAAGCTCGGCCGTTGTGCCTTCCCGACCAAGTTGTCGCTGCTGTCCCCGAAAGTTGCACGTCCAAAGTACGACCTGCGCGAGGTTCCGCGACAGCAGCCTTTGGTTGGCAATCCTCAGATTCAGCTATAATAAGTTATAACAGATCTACCCAGTTAAAACCTTAGGGCAAATAATGACTAGCAATCTGCAATCAAGGACATCTTTGCTAACTGCCAACAAGCAGCCTGAGCAAAGGGTGAGTGTTCACCTGGTCCGACCTGATGGTGAAGTGCTCGTAGCTGAACTGCCTGACATCATGATCACTGCGCCTGTTAATTATTTGAGTTCACCACATCGTGCATTCATATTATGAGTTCACCACATCAAATTGCAGGAGAGGCGCCGGTTGTGGATCTCGTCCACCCCTGGAAAGTCCGACGATAAGCGCTCCAAAAGGCGCAAGCACCTGATGTGTGGAAGCGGAAAACTTACTTAACTAACTGGAAGATCTGGTTCAATGCTGTCAGCCAACTAAGATATTTCAAAACTAAAACGTCTGCATCAGTAAACCAATCCAAATTACAGGTCCGGCTGGGACAGCAAATGATTGCACTGCCCCTCACTCAAGTCCAGCCGGCATCTGATGAAGTACGCCCTTAAGACCTCCGAGGTCAACTCCAGTAATGGCGGCCCACTCTGAATGTCCGGCAAGGGCGCGACACCACAATGAACGACCGGCGCAGCAATGGGAGACCGACTGACACTCATGGCTACAGCAAGTTCCCGACCGAGAGATTAGTCCGACCAGTGTAGTAGTTAAACAGTGACGGTTAGCCGCTACTACAATTCTTAGCACCAAATTTGTGTTTTTGAATTTGCGCTTAAATTGATTCATGGAGAACTGTGGACTCCCATTGCTTTGTAAAAATTTGTGTGACCGACCGAACCTGCAAAGTAATTCTTTTGAAAGACCGACCGAACCTGCAAAGTCGTTGATTTTAGGTAGCAAGTTGAGTATTATTCCACAAACTGTCGACTGTTGAGTCTACGTCACGTGCACAAAATGATTGATTCACATCCAACTTGATTCTTGATGCTGAAATCTATCCACATGAATGTGACATGTGCGTTCCATGTCATACACAGCATGAAACAAGCGTCACTGCTTGACAATACAGTTGGCAAGGCCCTATGAAAAAGTGTTGAAGACTTGTTACTACAAGGAATGAACTTTCATTTCAGCCTTCGCTAAATCAGTCAATTACAAATCTGAACTAGTACTACAGTACTATGAGTGTTGCAGTGGGCTCTGAATTGTTGATCCCTGCAAGCCAAACAACAACCTCTAGTATTACCTTATGTAATGCTATCAGCGTTCAAATAATATACTGTTTTTCCAATTCACTACTGAAAAAGACCTTGGCAAAGCTCTGAGTCGTTCGGGCTGAGTCCCGGGCATATTGTTCGGAAGCTGGTTCGCAGGCAATGAGCCAAATCAAGCAATTCCCTCTCAAGCATTGGTTAAAATAATGAATTGTCCGGCCGAGGTGGTAAGTTATAATAAACGTGTCCGGCGCCAACAGCTATACAAACAAACAAATGTAGGTATCTTGGGTTAAACTTGGGCAATCCCAGGTGTCAAAGGTTAGTGGAAACACTTTTGCACCTTTGAAACATTTTTAAGATTAACCACTGCCTGCAGCAGAATACACCCTTTTGACTGACAGTTCTTTCTCTTAGATGGCAAAGAGCTACATAGATACAGTAGTAGAGATAAAGTGGCAAGCCACGGCATGTCATTGTTACAATTGTATGATTAATTAGGTGGGCTAATTAAATTCAGCGTTTCTGTGATTTGGAGGAGTTATAGCCCTACTTAAAGCATCTCAGCAGTTTGCTTAAAATCACCAGAGTGTAGCTTCCCCACGCTGCACTGCACCAGGAATGCGGTGCAGTGCATCGCCACAGTTTAACTGTGCCTGTGTGTTTCACACATTAGATGAGGGAAGCCAAGCTCATGTCAATGTAGGGGACGAAGGGTCGGATACACGGCGCTATTATGGAAACATCCAGCTGCCGCCCCCCAGTGTCCCCCTTATTAAAAAAATATGCAGGTGAACGGACTCAACATGCCAAAGGAATCACCTTCCATGCTCACTTTAGTCAGCCCAATGCTCCCATACTGGTCCTATTGGCATTTGTTGGAAAACAGTTTTGATTGCAACTTACATGCACTTACACACTCACTTGTGTTTGGCTAACTTTTGACTATGCATACTTCTTGATGAAAATCCTACCCCTTCCCTCATCCTACCTCTTCCCTGCTAATCGTGCCCTCTGAGCCACCTCTCTATGAGACTCTCTATATGCCTTGATTTCGCCCCGTCCCCGCTCCCCGTCCCGAACGCTCCGACCACATGAACACGTCCCAGCGTCCGAAGACGGCCGCCAGCGCGGCGCGGCCCATGCGCTCGGGCTGCGCGGCGTGGTATTCGAAGACGCCGCTGGGCGACGTCAGGAGCTCCAGGGGATTCTCGTAGTCCTGCCGACAGGAGCGAGAAGGCCCGCGGGGCCGCGGTGGGGAGGCTGCAGGGCTCACGCTGTCGGGTCTGGCGGATCCCTTTAAGCAAAGAGAGGGCGATGAGCCTGGAAAAGACCCACATGGAACCTGAAGACCACCATGTCGGGTTGGTCTTCGGAACATCGTCTTCCACTCCGGTCCATCGACTGAACCAGAATCTTCCCGGCACAAACATATGGAGCCCATGTGTTCACCCTGGGATGCTGTATCATGTAAACTCGCTGTTCTATCTTGGTGCGCTTTGAGTACATGAAGGGTTTCTGTGATGGAGACCTGATGATTGTCCCACTAGAACGAGTCGAGAAGCGAAGAAGTGCTAGTTGACTCTGCAGCGCAACAATTCCAGCCTACAACTCCTTTCTGAGTTGCATTGAGCCCCTTGGACATGCATCCTGTACAAATACGCAAAAGGACATTAAGCCCCATTCACCGAAGGGGAACCAAAAAGCCGTGACCCGAGCGGTTTTGACCGCTCCACTTGGACCAGTGGAAGCGGGAGGAAGCGGGTCCCGCTCCTGTGCTGGGGTGACATAGGCCAGCTGAATGCCGCCTGAATGGGCGCAGATGGGGAACACCAGCCCCGCAGAACGCCCCTGGAGGAGAGACCTCCAGCACGAGGGTTATAGGAAGAGACCCACCATGGAAGCTGAAAACCACTGTGTGGTAGAGGAAAATAGATGAACATCGTCTTCGAAAGGTCCATGCCATCAGGTTCCATGCGGGTCTCTTCCGGGGTGTATCCATTGTTCTTCGTAGTTCTTCGTTTGCCATGGATGTGAACTGCGAACTGCCGGATGTGAAGCATCTGGAACGGTTCAGCAGGTGGTCAGGCGGTCAAAAGGAGTGCATATGAAGAACCCTATCCCAAACACGACTATATGGGACTGCCAGTTCGGACTGCCGCCCCAGCCAGACCCCTCATGGCCCACCCCAACTGATCGGCATATATATGGCAGTCCCATGGGTCGTGTCTGGGTATAGACTATCCCAGTTGGGTACCCCAGGTGACCGGTCGCCACGTCCCAGGTCACTTGACCTCTGGTGTTTCTATGGTCCCACCTGACTCTACTTTGCCCGATGGATTTGTGTGGACTGAAAGTTTCAATCCTTTTGTTGGGGTTGGGTGGCCCTTGGGTGGCCCTTGCTTGCCGTATCATCCCGCTCCTCGAAACACCACCACCTGGAGACACCCAAATGTTTTTAACCCGAAAAGCACTGGCGAAGGAGGCTAAGTGCCGGACGGAAGGGCAACCTCAAATGCAAGGCCGGGGGTGATGAGACCGGGGGATTCCAGCACATTCCAACCATTCCACTTCCAAAAAGCAAGAGGTAACAGGCATCTCTTACTTATATAATTATCACGGCGCGTAACAGGGGGGCAGGTAGGGGTAGTTGCCGATGAAGGATAGAGGTCGGATAAAGAAACATCTGTCCTGGACTCCAAACCTCCGTAATTCGACCTGGAAGAATCTTCTTGCCCTAAGAATCCGGGCCCTCAAGCAGATAGGGTTTTCAGGCCCCGGACCCCTGCCATGGACAGCCCAAGGATTCTTAGGGTGGCTCAAAAGTCGCTTGACTTCTGAAGCATTGGTTTGTTAGGAGTGAAACTCAGCCGGTCAGGTTCCAAACGCTTGGCCGTGGGTCACGGCTCCGGGGGTCCTCCGTGGATTTTTTGAGATTTATTCCAGCCCAAACAGCTGGAACAGGACCAAGGACCCAACAGGAGGTCAAGCCACCAAGCTTTGGGGCAGCGGATGGTCCATGGTCCGCGGTCGGTCTTTCTGTCCACTCTGTCTTGTCCGCTCACACGACGTCGTCCATAGACGTCCCCCTTCTCTCTTGCTGAACCGCTGAACCTCCTGCTGTTGTTTCGCCATGTCCACTGTCCACTGTCCACGGCCAGCCGCACCGTGACCATGGAAGCCCAAGGTTTGGGGCAGACCCGTGGGGGGGCACGCAGACAGTCAGACCTGACAGAATCGATCTCGATCGACTCTTCCTTCGTCCCCTAAACCTCAGTGGAGAGTGATCCTGAAATGTCCTGAATACCTCATTCACTATAAGGTGTCTTTCTATGTTCAACAGTTCAACATTCCCTATAAATCCACATACCAAACCTCAGGTACGGTGAGGACGGAGACTATTTGTGTAGGCGCCCAGGCGACCCAATGACCTTCTGAGAAGGTATGTGATGGTATGTGGATCCATAGGGATTCTTCAACTCTTGTTAGAATGAGGTCCTGACCGTCTTGACCGCCTCCAAGTCTTGGTCCTTCCAACCCAGCATACCTTCTGTTCGCCGCAATACAAGCGGGCCCCCTGCGAGGCCAACAATCCCACCATAGCAGCAGGTAGTTAAGTCGTTTCAGGCGCCATAGCTATAAAATGCTACCTGCAGTCACAAAGGGGTGCTATCCATGGAGGTTCGGGGTGCCCATTATCCACTTGCTTGGGGACTAAACACCACCCCGTTGTGACTCTATAAAGCCATAGCATGATTGACGGGTTCCCCTTCTGCTTCTGTCCGTCGTGGTTTTCACCGCCATCTTCTGGCCCCAGCGTCATCGCCAGAATCACCGCGAGGGCCATCTCTCCAGGGCTGCCAGCACCCACGAAGACCAGCAACGTGGCGCGGTTGGCTCCCTGGGGGTGTCAACCGCATCGGCTGGACCGATCGTGGACGTTCTTTGGGATGACCAAAACACTCTGTGTCACGAGGGGGGGAAGATTGAAGCTCTATTTGCGGTTCTTAGTGACTTAACTGCCATAAGGAAGAGTCCAACAGCTGACGAAGCAGGTGGTTTCCATGGCTGACTTAGAGCTATCCCGGAGATCGAATCCGAGATCGTTTAGAGGTTCAAGGAATCCGGCACTACCGATCACTGTCCGGGTAGTCTTAGGATCCGCGAAATGGGAAGGGTCGGGACAGTCGAAGCGCCAGCTACGTAGAGTGGGACCGAAGGGGGCTAGTACCACTCCTATTAGCCCTAGGCATCCGGTCGTGCCTTCTCAGACGGTGGGACTGGGGTGGGTGGGTGCCAGGGTCCAGGTGCCGTACCTGAGGTTCGGGCACGACTGGATCCCGGATGGGGGAAAAAGGACCTTCGAGCTTGATGCCGGACTTCGATCGGACCTGACATCACTCACCGACTTGGTTTTTATCCAAACTCCCTGGAACATCACGGGATCCCATTCCTCCATAAACATCGATCAGGATCCGGTCAAAAGCATGTAGGAAGCGCACATCTTGGACCGACCAATTCCCGGAAAATACTGCTAGTTGGCTTGTATGGCTTGAGGATGCTTAAGGCTTGATCCTCTGAAGCACTCCAGACTGAAACCACTGGAAGCCTGCCTTTCGCTGGTTGATGGTCCACTTGTCCCCCCCACTCACCGCGGTAGCTGAGCAGCTTTGAGGATCAAATCGCTTCCCAAAGCATACAAAGCCTCGAGTGTTTCTTCGACGGCCGGACGGCCGGACGGGGTGGTTTTGCTTCGGAGTCTGGTCACTGGCTTTGGTTCCACAGCAGTGGTGAGAATTCGTTCGTGAAACTTGGCCTAAAGATGCCAATGAGCGTGAAACATCTGCGAAGCAAAACATGTGGGGACAGACTGGATTCCACTTACAAGCTAGTGGCACTGATCCAAAGACTCAACCTTTTAGAAAGACCTTCCAAAGAAATGCATCCCCTGCTCAAAGTTTTTTTGTACTGTACCCAAAACGGTTGCTTGAACCGCACCCACCGCGATGCTCCCACCGCGATGAGTTGTGAGGCTTTGTGGCACTTCTAGAGTGATTTACGTGCCAAAGTAAAAATGCAAACACCAAGTGCAAAATTGCCATTAGCATCTTGTGTATATTGTGATTATTGATATTGTGTCTATGTGCCATATATTATGTTTCATATCCAACAACGACTGGCATGAACAATTCGTCAACACAAACAAATATCACATTGTTATATATGTGTTTCACCATATTTCACATGTTCCACCCAAATCTTCACCAAGAACACCCTTGACAAAATGAACGAGTACTATTTTTTATGTCTGAACGGTATGACTCATGACAAGTATCAACAAATCATGAATACCGCGCACCTCTATGAGATAAACATTGTAAACATGAAGGACATGTCAGGACACCGGATCTTCCTACCTCAAGATTTAAACCGGTGGAATTCGAGCATTGCACGTATGTCATGGGTGGGACCATTGAATTCGCCCAAAACAACAGATATCAATTCTCCGGGCTCCATGGGCTTGACTGAACCCAGTTCGGGAACATCAACATCAACGACCAGTGTCCGCTGACGCACGAACAGCTTGGAACCAGTGCGCTGGTGTTCTGATGAAAATCCATGATGATTGCGAACGGATGGAAAGGTGTGCCCTGGCCCCGTTCTAGCTCTTAGGTCAACATGAAGCTCGCGCGCTAAAGCTCCTTTTTACCTGGTTGGGCACTTGAGCCAAAAGTATATGGCATGTACCTGTATAGCGACTATACTGGGACCCCATCCCTATTGACACCCCCCACATCCGTACTTCGACGGGGAAGGGAGATGAGTGGATGTAAAAACCGGAGAACGAATCACGTTCTCAAAAGCGTATTGGAGGTCAACCAGTATGTCCTATTGAATCGAATTAGCAAAAGATCTTGCAATCGCTTGAAAGTTGGATCAAACAGGCAATGGAGCTACAAGCGGAAAACGTGCGCCTACCTATGGTATCATGCGATTACCAACGGTGTGAGACACAATCCTATCTCACTCCCATGATGCCAAAACGGTCATCATGAATTACCCGCGATCCCTCAGTACTTGAAGTACCGGAAGTAGCATGTCGGTATGACCCCAATGCTCAACCATTCGTGAGTTGTCGCATGTAGTCAGCGCCGACAAAGCCAATGTAGTCCTTGATGAGCTCAACGTTCCTTGGGTTTCCCGCTCGGATCTGCTCCTCGAAGGACTTCAACTTCCTTTCTTGGATATCGGATACCTCTATGCCATAGTATCGGCATGCAGCGAGGATCTCCTTCGTGACATTCTTCCTCTCCGATTTGATGGCGGGACTAATGTCGATGAATTTGTATGGAGCGGCACTTTCGTCATCTGGTTTCTGGTAGTAACTATATCGGCTCGCTCCGAAGGTCTTCTTGATCATACGTCTGATGAAATTTGAGATGAATGCCAATTTCTCGATGATCTCATCCTGGGTCTCAGACTTTCGAGCCTTTGGATCACTCATGCTACGCTGAGTGCTGCCGACCTCTTTGAGGTACTTGTGGCTAAGCCCGCAGCGGATTGCAGTGATCATCATCGGATGAACAACATTGGCGTGGAATTCATAGATCTGCCACGCTTCTGCTGCAAACCCGTCGTCGGTCCATCTGCTCATGCCTACGACCTCGTCTCTCTTGAGACGTCTTGGAAACCCAGTATCCGGATCTTTCGGTACTATTGGCCATCTATTGTGCGGAGTGTCATGCCGCTGTCCATCGTCGAACATTCGCAGTACATCTTCACGATTCTCAAAGCAGTTGATGTCGAACGTTGCGTTGGCCAAGCTCTTGATCAACTTCATCAACCTCAAATCAAATTGCTGCGTGACGGCAAAGTTGTGGTCGATGGGGATCGCAGCTTCTTGCGGCAATTCGTCAATCGCGAAGGGGAAAGGCCTCGGAAGTTCATTCCCGTATCCATCTTGAGGGACCTCCCGATACTCGGGTTCGCCTTCAGCTTCGTCCGGTCGTTCCTTCAAAATGATAGGAACTTCCTCCTCTTCCTCTCCTTCGGATTCCCCGATCTCAATGACCTCTTCGGCTGTCTTGCGTGCGTTCTTGATGACTTCATCGATGTTTGCACCTGCAGCAGAAGTTGTTTCACCGGAAGAACTGGCTGGGACATCTTTCGGAGGTGATCGTTGATTGCGGTCCCTTGTCTCCTTGGGTACCACATGTGTGAGCTTCCCATTCGCGATCAGAACCGCTACGCAGTGCGGACATATCGTCAATCGCACATCGACTTCGCCAAGACAGTTAGGACACGGCCTTGAATCGTAGTCTTTCATCGCTCGGCGATACACGATCTCCCCCAAGAGTTCCTGCCACTCGGTGTTATCATACTCTGGGTAAACACCACTCTCCTCGATCATACCCAACAGCTTTGAGATTTTGGCGTCGTCCTCGGAGTAGGTGTCGTCCAGAACCTCAACCGCTAAGCTCTCAAGCTTTTGAAAGCGTGGAATCATGATCGGGTTTCCGTATTTGGACTCTAGAACAAGGTAGCTTCCATGGTCGGGTTCCCCATTGAGTAACCGGATCCATTCGATCTTCTCAGGCTGTCCGGGTTCCGCATTGTCGCATTGCAACCATGCCCCCTTAACCTCATCGAAGGGAACGACGTTCTCAACCAATAGAGAGCCAGTCGCTGAGATGAGAAGTCCGTACTCCTGCAGCTTCCACACCGGAATGTAGAGAACCACTGGGCGATCACTCAATGCGACCTTACGACCCAGCCAAGGTTTACCCTTGTAGCCCTGCTCCCAGGCCCATGGCGGAAAACATGTGAAGTGGATAGAATCCCTTCCCGATGAACCGAGACCTCCCGGCACTAGCCCTCGTCGCATGATTGAAGTCAGCGCTCCGAGATTGGTAGCGTGAAATGCAGTCACCATAGATAGGGCCATGTCGTTGGTCATTCTCGATCCAATGTGGTCGATGTCAATGGTAACGTCATAACCTCCGCCGTCCGTTGAGTGTGCCGAGGTGGCTCTTACAGCCACGGGAAAGCACCATCCATCGCTATGGTGGAGTCTTCCTTTAGAGATTCCCATGTCCTTGAGTTCGTTAATCCATCCCTTCTCCATCGGGTCATCAGGCTCATTGAGTTCATCAGGGTGAACACGGACCGCTAACATTTGGAATCTGACCCTCTTGGTTATGCGGAAACACTCATAGTTTTGGTCGAAGTACTTCTCCAGACGCGCCTTCTTGGTCACGATGTCTATGTTGCCGTAGTGATAACCGTCTTCCCAAACTGCATTATCACCTAACAGGTCTTCCCATGACACCCATGCACCTTCATCGCATTTGATTGGTGCGAGTCTTCCTCCTGTCCTGAACTGGCGTCCAATTCGATGTCTCAACTTCGCTCCCAATCGACGACTCAGGGCCTGGCTCGTTTGGCTGTATTCAGGTACTCGACAGTCTGGAGTCGGATACTTGTGGTTGCCGTAGTCGGAGTTCTTTGCAGCGAAAGTGACTCCGTTGATCGGTACTAGTTCAACTTTCCCGACCATCGTCATGGGGTCGATCGGCTTGTATCCCTTCTCCCTCCGTGTTGGAAGGGGATAGAAGTGATGACATGCCTTTGGTGTGAGGGAACTGGAGTGCACAAATGCCTTCTCGACAAATTCGTACACCACTTTCATATCCTTAGGGCCTGCTTCCACAAGCTTCCGCCCATTGTAGGAATGTGGTCCTCCTTCGACTCCATCAGCACTTTCGATCAAGGTGAATCCGTCATGGTCGAACATTGTCACGACTCTTGCTTTTAACATTTCTTTGCGCTTGAACTCGCTGTCGACCTTTCTTTCTGGAGTGGGCGATGCTCTCTGCTTCTTCTTCTTAGGCTCCTCGGTTGGATGTCCAGATGGTACATCGTCGGGTGCGACCTCTCCCTTCACTCTCTTCTTCCAATCACTCAACACCGAGGTGACTGAAGGTGAAGATGAAAGGTTCTTCTCGCAATTGATAGTTGTGTGTCCCGACTCCATGCAGTGGATGCAGAATTCTGCCTGCCCGATCTTCCTCTCAAATTCGTCGATGGCTTGCAGTATTGATGTCTTCGGGTCGGACATGTCAACATCTTGCTCCTCCTTCTCCTGTCCACATTCAGTCTCCATATCGACACCTTCGGCCTCGGGCTGGTCAGTGGCTTCTGTTCCCTGTTCTGGTTCTTTCCCAATTTCGAAGAAGTGGTCGATGTCGAATTCAGGAGGCGGCATAGTCCTCATGCGAACGAGAATCAGCGCCACGTTTGCCGCCTCATCAGAGTGCGGGTCCATGGTTCTAATCATCGATCGCTTTCGGTTCTCATACGTTGTCCTGTCGTACAGCGATGCAGTGACGCGTTTGATGGATTCCTCTAATCCCGTCCTCAAAGCTTCGATGTCACCCCATCCTCTGAACAGGTGTCTGAAGAGTTGAGCAATTTCGAACATGCCCAGCAACGCCTCCACCATGTCACCTACCCGTTCCTCTGTGGGATCATCTCCGAATATAGTGCGGAATACATCGGGTTCCAGTATGGTCTTGAGGTATTTGGTGTAGCATACGTTGCCAAGGTCATAGGATCCCTGGAAGTACTTGGCGTTGCCGATTATCTGCTTTTCCACATGGATGCTGGGTCCTCTCCTCGTTTTGAAGAAGTTCTCCGTCATTGTTG